AGTGTTACTACTAACGAGGGGCGTTCGGCACTTGCTATACGTTAGGATAGATATATCGTTGCCTTAAATCCGGATACTAGTCGGTAGGGTGCCCCTATTAGCCGTAGTGCTATAAATTCGGATACCTCGGAAATAGAAAACAATCTCGAGTTTCTCTCGGATCTTGTAAACCGACTTTAGCGGCACTCGTATAACGATTATTGCCTACGCCGTAAGAAGGGATAAGATACGGCCGATACTACGAAATATTACCGGTTTCACTTTCCGTATACTATCCTAGAGAGGGCCGAGGTTTCTAATCGCTATAACGACAAGTTTGTTATATATATTGCCGAGTGTAACGATTAGAACCTTAATTACTTTAATCCCCTTTTAACGATAGCCTAGAGAGCGAATACCGATCTTACTCCGTATACCGATATTAAGGTAGTACTACAATATATTATTAAGTACTGTTCGAAAGCCGAGGTTACTATAAAGCCCTATTTAGAACTTATACGGGATATCCTGCCCTATATATCTAATAGGAGGCCCTTAGTCTCGCTTGCCGCTAAGCTACTTAATAAGCTAGTTTCTAAAAGAGATTAGTCCGTATAAGAGGTTTCGTTTATTCTACTAGGTTATAATTTAGTAGATTGTACGCGGTAGTTCGTTAACCTCGACTATAGACCGTAGGTAGAGTAATAGGTACTATTTAGGCTAAACGACCTCGGCGAGGGGCACCCCTAGCAGACTGCGCGTAGGACGATCTATATAAAGTATAGCGATCGATAGGAAGTATACGCTACTGTTTCGCTCTTCGAGTTCGCGACTAGATTTAATCTAGGCCGGAATCCGCCTACGAGGTTAGCGGATAGAAATCCCGACCGGATTCTTCGCTATATCCCGCTATATCCTAGCGATACTAGCGATCTAAAGTACGCGTAGTACTATCGGTTTAAGGTTATACTATACGTCCCTTAGATAGTATATCTAGTACTACCCTTCCGATTCCTAAACTCGCCTATTTCTTATACTACGTAGCCGGCTACCTACCGGGAATTAGAGCGCCGGGAGTCGTAGTATCCTATACTTAGGAGGGACTATTACGGCTGTCTAGCCGAGGAGAACGAGGATTTTAAGGACGAGTTCGAGGAGGAATATCCTATTACCGAGGATAAGGAGGCTATATTTAACGAACTTAGGAACGAGTATCCTAGCGATAATAATCGGATTCGCGAGGAGCTCGAGTTAGGACAGCGGGGTATTAATATTTCTACTAACTAGAGTCCCTACTATAGCCGTTTTAAAGATACTATACCCGAGGTTTACGAACCGCTAGCTCGGAATAACTATTAGCGGCGGTTAAAGGAAAGTTCGACCTCGAATTTAGATATCGAATCTTAGGTATCTAACGCCTATCTATTACTAAATCCGGGGCAAGCGGTAGTATATAGTGTCTTTATTAAGAACTACGAACAGTTTGTCCGAGAGTTTCTATTCGGTACCCGCTTAGGGGCGCCCGCTAACTCTAAAGGCGCCCCGTAGCTATTAATTAATCTCGACGGCGAGGCGGGTACCGGAAAGTCCTATATAATCGAGCTACTCTCGGCTCGGTTATAGGCTCTTACGCGGCGTACTAAAGGTAGTACTCGAAGTCCTATTGTTAGACTTGCCCCTACTAGGGCAGCGGCGTTTAATATCGATAGCTATACTATTTATTCCTTTTTTAATCTACCTATTTAAGTCGATCCTATCTTAGACGAACTTAGAGACGAGGCTAGAAAGGTCTGCCGCTAACGGTTAGAAGGAGTGCGTTTTATAGTAATTAACGAGAAATCTATACTTAGTATTCGTCTACTAGGTTAGATTAATTAGCGCCTATTCGAGATCTTTCCTAAAACTAAGGCCTCTACCGACTTTTTTACTAGGTTTAGTATTCTTCTAGCCGGGGACTTCTATTAGCTTCCGCCCGTCGCGGCTACCGCTCTTTTTACTACTAAGCGTTTATATAACGCTATAGATATCTCCGGTCGTAATTACTACCGAGCCTTTAAGTATACGCTACGTTTATTATAGGTTATCCGGCAATCCGGGTAGGATAAGACTGCCCTACAATTTAAGGATGCCCTATAAGCCGTCCGGGTTAATAAGGTAGAAGATAGGTACTATAATCTTCTTAGATAGCGTACGTTTACGCCCTTCGGGGAGGCAATATAGAGAGACTTTAAGTCTGCTATCCGGCTTTACTCCTACTGTACTACGGTAGAGCAGTTTAATCGTACGTAACTCTTAGCTAGCGAATATCCGATACTTCGTATTAGCGCTAAGCACGACTCTATTTCGAGTAGTCGGCTTAACGAGAAAGAGTTTTAAGGACTCTATTCCGAGCTATACTTAGTTATTAGATGTCTAGTACTTCTATATTAGAATATCTAGACGGAGATAGGTTTAGTTAATAGTAGCCGCGGCTAACTATATAGTATTCTCTAGGACGAGGACGTAGAGAGTCCCCGGGATACTATACTTCGCTATCTACTCGTTTATTTTCCCGAGTTTCGTAGGGTTAGACTAAACGAGCAGATCGACGCCTAGGGGGGGGGCCCGGAAGGGTATAGTTATACCTATCTTTCCCGTACGGAGGGCACGCGGTACTTACGGTACTACGGAGATATAATAGCGCGAGCAATTCCCTATAGTAACCTACTATACGATTACGATTTATAAGTCGTAAAATATAACTTTAGATCGGGTTGTCGTAAACCTTAGGGAGAAGTAAGTATCTCCCGGGGCATTCTACGTAGCCTTATTAAGGGTTAGGGCCTATAAGGACCTCGCTATCGAATAAGACTTTATAAAGTCGGATATTACTTTTAGTATCTCCGATATTACGAAAGATAGGGATCTAGATTAGCTAGAACGGACGAAGTAACTCCTATCTATCGAAATTACTAGCCCTACTACTACGCTACGTAGTATACGTATATAAAGTCTAGCCTTTAGTTCGCTAAGGTCTATTCCTTTAGTCTCGACTAGGAAAATACCTTCTACTCTCTATAAGAGTATCGATCCTTCGCCGGTTCGGATTCTACCTATCCTCCGGCCGTCTTTAAGGGATACTAGGTAGAGGAGTCCGTTACGGTATAGAACTACGTAGGAGGAATTATAGGGTAGCTCGGTATCGCCGGATTTATTACCTAGCCCGGCGGATCCTAGCCCTATATTACTACCGAGGCGAAGAGCGCCTACTATACCCCGTCCGGAGGGGCCCCCGGAGGAGTACCTAATAGCTAGTAGGATAGAAGGTAGTAGTTCTATACCGGAGTTAGGTTTCGAGGAGGAGGAGTACTTTATATATTAATCTACTATATATAGTTTTGTACTTAGGCGGCGCTATATCGGAGTTAGGTTTCAACTTTCGAGGAGGAGTACTTTATATATTAATCTACTATATATAGTTTTATGCTTAGGCGGCGCTATATTAGAGTTAGGTTTCAACTTTCGAGGAAGAGTACTTTATATATTAATCTACTATATATAGTTTTGTACTTAGACGGCGTTTATAATAGGCTATAACTACTAAGAGGAAATTCTATTATCGAGTTCCTATCTAAGTAACTTAACAAGTTGCTAGACTATTATACTAACTCGTGCGGCTCTAATTCTATAATTTAAGTAAACGTATATATTTTTTTGATTTTCGAATATATCTAGGGTTTATAACGGACTAAGTTGTCCGGTAATAACGGTATAGTTTCTACTAATATTGTCCTAATCTATCCTAATACTCTTATAATATATTATATACTAGTATTATAAATATATCCCCTTAACTAGTATATTTAATTTCTATATACACGTTTATATTTCCCCTTGCTATATATACTATCTTATATATTATATATATATATAGAGACTTATAGTATAATTTTTATTAGAATCGTATTAATACTAACACATATACTAACCGAATACTAGACTCTAAATCTAATAGTCGTCGATTGTAGTTAAAATTTAGGCTTTAACGATTGTAATAATAAGATATTGTTCGTAGTTAATCTCCTCTACCTTAGTCTTTTTTTTTTAAAAAAAAAGCCAACTAAACACCCTCCGGAAGTACCTATTCCCGACCCGTATAGCTTCAACGTGTGCTATATTATAGCGTAGAATCAGCTACACGGTCGGGGGATTACAGTCCTACTCGGGAATACAGAATAGTAAACACTGTAAGTAGCCGGCCAGCCCCTGCTCCCCCGGAGGGGCCCTCAATAAAGCGTAGTCTAACGATTGGGCCTCGGGGCGCCCGCATCTACTACCCTCGTCAGTAGTGTATCTGATTGGCTGAACGTCCTCGGGTTTTGCGTGTATATATCTGCCCATCTATGCCAAGAAATCCGGGGAAGCTGATATAGCTCAGCTGGTGGACGCTCGCTTTTTTAAGCAACGCCAAGCCGAAAATTTTCGAACGTGGGTGACCTCTGCGCTGCCACTCTTGGAACGCGCCCGCGGTCCACAACACTTCCTAGTTTGCCAATGCCAATTCTCCCTCGCTTGCTGTGCTTTGCTTTCTCCTTTCACACTCGACACCGGCGCCAGGGGCACATGCCATGTCAAGGTCCACAGTTGTATACGGCCTCATGTTCTCGAAAGTGGCCGGAACAGCATATGTTCTGCATTGCGTGGAGAGAAGCAAGTGGGCGGGCGTACAGCTAATCTTCAGAGCTTTATTTCACATCCTGATGAACATGGTCAAGGCAATATCTCGATCGCTCATCTGAACAAAAGTAGGGGAGAAACATTGCTTGGGTCAAGTAAATAGGAATGCACTGATCTCCTCGAACGAGTATTGAGCGGCCAGATGCTGCTCACTCAATGGCCCTGCTCTTATCCTTATCAGTCGAGCTGATCGTCTCCGAGGAGCTGCAGCTTGCAGAAAGCAATGCGAGAACACACAATCATATTGATGCCATGGCCGTCCGGAATTTCAAGTGGTCGTTGCTGACCCTCAGGAAACGAACACTATGGCCGCAGTGAATGGGAAGAAAACATCGGAATCGAGCGATTTCTCACCGTACAGATCCGATGGAAAGCTATACGGATTCGTCTGCATCGTCACGGGCGCAACACAGCCTATAGGAAGAGCAATCGTCCTCGAGCTGGCAGCACATGGAGCCGCAGCGATATATGCCTGCTCAGCATTGGCCAAAGACGATTTCGCAAGTCTCGAGAAGGAAGTCAATAACCTCTACCCAAACACCAAGGTCGTCGGATATCCCTTCAAGCTAGCGAACGAAGAAGATACGTTGCAACTGATCGATGATGTTCTGAACGCGTGGGGACGGTAAGGCATGGTGTCTGGCGCATAAACACCCACAGAAGCTTATAAATGTTCAGGCTCGACATCTACGTAACCTCTTCAGGCCTCCTAGGCCCGCCCTCAATCGCCGAAACGACACCAGCAGACCTCTACAAACTCTTTGAAGCCAACTCCATGGCACCTTTCTTCGCTCTCAAATACGCCCCTCCCGCAATGCAGAAGACGACCCCCAAAGGCAACTACCCGAACGCTACACCGAAAGACCAACCTTACGGAAGCATAATCGTAGTAGCATCTGTTGCTAGCACGATAGGAGGCTGCTGGGGTCCAGCATTTACAATGTCGAGCCATGCTGCGCTAGGAGTCGTAAAAGCTGGAGTAGCCACGCTGAAAGGCACTCTAGTAAGAATCAATTGTATCAGTCCAGGACAAATCGACATCGGGGTGGATCTGCAGAATCTGGATCGAAGAGGTCTGGAGCATCAGCTACCTCCGAGTAGACTACAATCGAAAGAGGTGCAGAAGCAGATGGTAGGTTTGGAAAGAGCAGGACTGCCGTCTGAAGTTGGAAGAGTAGCAGGTTTCCTCGCCTCTGGCTTCTCAAGTTATATTACAGGACAAAATATTGTGGTCGATGGTGGTACTAGTGTCATGAATCCATTAACAGTGCCCCTGTAGAGAATTCAAACCGATACACGATCGGCTGTCCGAGAGGTCCATTCCGAAATGCCTAGCATGGCTCATAGTACCTGGTACAGTTTCCGGGCCCAAAGGCTCCAAACGCCTGCGCTAAAGCAATACGTCTGAGGGAAGGAAGAAGTTCAAACCGCACAATGCGCAGATCAAGCGCGACCCAACCTTTGCTTCTTCAACACCCTCGCTTGAGCCCACGAGACAGTTCCAGCAGCTAATTGTGCCGGTTTGGATGCTCTACCTGACCGCCGACGTTGCTGTCCACCCTCGCCAAACCGTTCATCAATCACTGGGTCTTCAACTGTCTCCGGTCTCGACGACAGGACCCGAGAACGCCTCACACCTGCGGAGCGTGCATCATTACCATTATCACTATCAGCAGCAGCAGCAGCAGGCAAGCTGGACTTTGAAGATGATCGTTTCCTCTTTCTCGCACGAGCTTCTCTCTCAGCTTGAATCTGATGTTTTCGAGATTTGATGTGGTAAACCTCTGGTTTTTTGAGCCTATAAGGCGCCTTCTTCGGCATTCCACCTGGGAATTTGGGTCTTCGCTGTGGTGATCGGCTTGATTCTGCGTCACTTGGTCTGGCAAGTTCTGGGAACTTCGGTCTGGCCCGCAAGAAGTTCCGAAACGTCTGTATGCCCAGGATTTTCCGAAGTCCCAGAGCAAGCTCTTCCTCTTCGATAGTCTCGTCCTTCTTGAGACGATCGAGAAGGGCTTGAGCTAGAGCAGTGGTTGACAAGGTGGACGTTGTAGGGGGAGTCTTCTCGAGCTGCTGTAGTCGTAAGAGTACACTTTCCAAGATCCCATCGACATCCTTCGGTCCCTGACTTTGAGCGTTCCGGGTAAGATCTTTGATGGCCTTGTCGTGCTCGTCCAGACGTCCGCTGATCAAAGTTTTGATATCGAATTCGATCGAATCGACTTTTTGCTTGATTGCCTTGACTTGCTTGACCGACGACGTTGTCTCATGCTGACGACTTCTAACATCTGCGAGTGAATTCTCCAGACCCTCGAGTCGTCTCTCAATCTCAGTGCAACCTTCTGCGACTTGGTTGTACGCTTTGCAATGTTAGCTAGCTATGGTCGAATTGTGCTGGGATTATTACCCACCTTCGCCAATGCCATCTATGCTGGTTTCAATCGCAGCGAAACGAGCATTCATTCTGGCTTCAATAGGCGCTTTATTGTCTACTGGTCTATGGCCGCTTCGTGACATTGCTTGCATCGCCGAGAAAGGGATGTGCGCTGCGTCGTATCCTCTGGACTGCTTGTGGAGAGGGATGCGTTACGTTTGACAGAAGGATAGCGAGTCGAAAAAAACTAGAGAATGCTTCGATTGTTTCATTGACTGATGAGTGGCACAATACACATTGAAGCGTGGATCACATTGTCTCGCGGGAAGTGGGGGTGCGAGGTGGTTGGACTTTCACGGACCAGCTTGCGGTCCGAGCAGGCAGGACGCTGATGGCGAAGGCACACGAGTGGTAACTTGATGATGTCCAGCTGCAAGACGGTAGAGCACTACTGCCACCCAGGAGTACAGGTACGCTATGCTAATATCAAGGAAAGCTCATCATCAAAGTCGCTCTATCTACAATTTTCATTTCTCATCAATGCACGGCCTCTCAGTAACTGCATCAAACCAAAGTCGTATCTGCGCAGCCATGGGTATAGGAGACCGTGAATCCAAGCAGCCAAGGCGTTCCATTCCACTTCGTGATGCCTCTGTGGTCTATACAAGCTCGACATAATTGCTGGGAAAGATTCCAAGGCGTTCACCAATCCGGCCAGTCCACCAATCTGCTTCGTTCTCTGTGCGCTTGACGATGGTAATGACCTCGCCTTTCTTGAAGCCAAGATCACCAGGCTGGTCGGCATCGAATGTGAACTTCGCAATAGCTTGCCCAGGCTGAGCGGTTGGGAACTTGCCAGTGCTTCCGAACGCAGGCTTAGGTGCTGACGGCCGGCCAGGTGCTGGGCCTTTCCGGTCGCTGTAAGTGTAATCTGACTGATCACCGAGCGTTGATGACCGACTGCGAGTCTGCATGGAATCGAAAGTCTCGTTTGGGTTGGCGCGGCTGCCGTAGTATTCATCAAAGGTCGAAGCTCGTTGTGGCGCCTGTCCAAAACTACCAGTTCGATCCGTCCGCACACCTTCGTTGAACCCAGTTCCAGTCCTGCCTTGCCACACCACATCGTCATGTGCGTCGTCATAGACCGGGACGTCGTTGTACATCTGATCATCTCTGTATCCCGCTCCAGCAAAGACTCTCGTGTTCAGCACGCGCATCAATGGCTCAGCTTGAGGTGGTACAGGCACATTTCCTCCCAGAAGTTCACGAGCTGTGAGCTTCCGGTTGTACATCTTCTCGTTGGCATCTCTCCGCTCAATGAGTACACTGCCCTCCAGACTGACACCTGCAAATAAGCCTTTGGTCTTACTGTATGCGAATATTCCAGATACGCTCCTCAAGCTGGCAGCGCCAGCAGCCTCGGCATTGCGGCCGACGGGTCCAGCAGCAATACTGACATTTCCACCCAAAGTCAAAGATCCGACCTGAGCGAAGGTCTTTACCGCAGCGGCATCATTGAGGATGAAGACGAAGTCAGTCAGCTCGAATCCAATCTGACCTCCAAAACCGCCGCCTACTGTTCCGATAGCTGATGGTGCAGACCAGGTTCCGTCAGCTAGACGAGCAACGACCACGCCGCTACCGAATCGACCCGAGCCCAAGAAGCCGGCCTTGAAGACCGTGAGGATGGCGAGACCTTTTGCATTGGCGAGGATCGATGGCGGGATGACTTTGTCTGGACCGAAGGCTTGTCGAGGATCGATGAACGAGGCGAGGATGCGACCGCATTTCTTGCATTCACCTGTGGTTTACCACGTCAGATCCAAAGCTGTGGCAGCGTGTGGTATGGTATGAGCGGAGCGCGATGGACTTACTGCGCATCGACGACGGCAGCGGGTTGTTGAGGATCGGCATGTCGGGCGGGCGGCTGTGGTGTTTGCACTCTCCCAGTCGCAAAACGCTTCTGATCGCAGCACGAATACTTGTAAGCTGATCCAATGTTTGTCGCTGCCGCCTGGTCACCGCGAATCCAGTTCGCCCGCGACGCGCATTGCGTGTACAGTAGGAGTCTTGCAGGCGTGCAGGATGGCAGGGCAAGATGGGTGTCGAACACAGCCACACGCATATTACGTAGCGTAGCGTAGCGTAGCGTAGCGTAGCAATGGCTTGGAAAAACTGCGGAGCAGCTGATGACCGAACGCACGCGCGCGCTGCCGTGCCGTTCCGAAGCCACCGAAGTTCCTTGTCGTGGGAGTCTACTACCGACGAGCGTTCACAGTACGACCCTCGACATCAACCCTTCACTCTCACACCCTCTCCTCTTGCCCTGCCGTACCCTGCCTAGCCCAGCATGTCTGAAGCGTACGAGCGCGAAAGGTAAGCAGCAGTCCCATTCCATCCTACAAGAACCTATTGACAAGCGCCCTCTAGACAAAACAACGATTCTCTCTCCTCCCTTTCCGCCAAAGTCTCCCAACTTCGTAGCGTGACTATCGACATCTACGACAATGCGCGCGATCAAGGAGTCCTTGACTCCACCTCCGATACCTTCTCATCAATGACGACTTCTCTGAAAGGATCCGCGAGGAGGCTCGGGGTCATGGCAGGACAGGGAAACAAGGTGGCCATATTTAAACTCGCGGCTATCATAATCGCTGTGGTTATGGTGGCGTATTGGATACTGAGTTGGATTTTCTAAAGCAGCACTCGGAGTGACAAGGAAGCAATGTCAAGACATGTTTTAGCGAGGAGTTGCGGAGTTCATCAGTCATACGAGTTGGTGGGGAAGATATTCAAGGAAAGCACGACACAGCATGAATGGCATCACGCGATATGGGGAACGAATGCATGCATACGCACATGTTCACAACTTATATCGAAGGAGCCTACGCTTCGTGTGCAAATGTCTTCGTGTACTTAAATCCGGCTTCGTGGCTTTCAAAGCCAAGAGAACAACGTCTGAACGGTCTATCCCCAGACGTTGCCAAACAAGTCGTCAGTATTATTAACGCCGCCCGACTTTGCACCGCCCGGAGTCTGTGCTACGGGACTTGCGTGCGACCATCCTCCGAATTCTTCATCCTGCTGGACACTGAACCCGCCAACGCTGGTCGACGTGTTGGCCGGCTTCGCTGCTTCTGCATCGCCCCAGCCTGAGTCAAAAGCGGACGTAGTTACAGCCGGTGCTGGATTGGACTTGAAGGATGGCGAAGATATCGATGAGCGTTGCGGAGCTGGCTTTGAAATAGCGGCGGCTGTTGAGGGCTGGTCTGGCGTTGCCCAAGCATCGTTTGAATCCCAGACATTGGCATTCGAAAATGTTGTCGTGGTAGCTGGCTTTGGAGCGGCTGGTGCAGGTGCTGGCTGAGAGAGGTTGAACGCAGAATATTTTGCCGTTTGAATAGGAGGTGGGTTGTTTGTTGGCGCAGCAGGCTTGGGTGGCGGTGCAGGTGCCGACATATCAAAGAGATCACCCATGCTGCTAGTGTTCACGGGTGGACTCTTGGCCGACGTGACAGGCGCGGCAGACGAGAAATCGCCAAAATCAGCCCCAAAGCTGTTGCTTGCTTGTCTATTGGCAGGGGCGGGTGCTGGAGATGTCTGCTTGGGCGGAGGAGCTGGCTTAGCATCAAAGAAACCACCTCCGCTCAGCGTTGAAGCCTTCTGGGTCGATGCTTGCCGTGAGTGTCCACTTGGAGGCGCAAAGTTGGAGAATGGCGCTGGCTTCGCTTGGGCGGGCGGGCTGTTGAATGAAAGACCTCCAAAGGCGTCTCCAAGCCCACCAAGCGCCTGTGCGTTGGATTGGGTGGGAGACGTGAGAGGAGACTGCATGGGCGACTGCATACCTGAAAAGGCGCTGGCTGCAGGCTGCGATGGCGCAGGCGCGGGCTTTGAAGCGTACAGTGACAGGATAGATTGCTTCAGATCAGTCCTACCGCCACCCGCGTTCGGTCCAGTGCTCGAGGGTCGTGCTGGTGAAGCAGATTGCGTTCCACCGAAGAAATCGAGTCCTAGTAAGCTCTCACCCGGCTTTGCAGCAGCTTTGGGAGGCGCAGGTCTGCTCACAGCTGGCTCCGTAGTGCTAGGTCGAGCAGGTTGGTTCACAGTAGGTTCAGGTATATCACCAAATAAATCTGGCTGTGGTTGCCTCTGCCTTGGTGGCTGTGGTATGCCCGCAGCTGGAGCCTGACCATTCCTGATACTCGCGCTTCGTTCACGCTCTTTGACTTGCTGCTGCACCACGTTCAACGGCACATCATCGTTATCTTCTCCATCGTCCAGCGTGCTCGGGTCAGGTATTGGTCCATCCATGCACCATCTTTTGCTATCGTATTTTGTACGAATGAAGTTCTCAATCTTGGCCTCGTTGGGTACATGGCCTTCAGCCAGCTTGTGTTCCCAATACTTGTTCGCTCTTGCGTTGCCCCACCGTAGCATGCTCTGCATCTGTTCGTCTGTCCAGGAGTCAAGGTCTACGGACTTGACACGCGAGATATGTGTGCCCATCCCGCGGTGGATGCCAGAGCAACGAATGCAGACGAACACACCGATATTCCAACTCGCCCATCTCGGGTGCTTGTTTCGCTTGCAGTCGGCGCAGCTCTTGTTCGACTCGAGCTTGACCAGCTGCTTGAGCGTCGCGCGGTTCTGCTCTGCCTTATCTGGCCCTGCTCCAGGCCGCCTAGACATTTTGGCGGTGGTCTCTGCGATTGTAGATGCAATACGTAAAGGTGTTCCTGCAGCCTAGACAGTGACCCAGCGATCGGGAGGCCAGTGCTTCCAATGTGATGAACAGATCCAAACCGCTGACTGCTGCAGCGTATTGCACGACCACGTTCACAAATCGTCCAGAAAGTGAGGTCGGGTTGAAAGAACGCTCCCGGACGTCAATACAGTCAGGGTCAGGGTCGGGCATCATTGGCTTGGCATGTGCAGGGCGGCCGTGTTACCACGTGCGAACCGAAATGACGCTCTTACAGTATTCAATATTTCACAATCGAGAGACGGACTCCGACCGTTTGTATTGACATGTTTTGAAGTATAATTTGTCATGATTTAGCTGCCTACTTGCTGGACTGTCCCTGCAGCAATGGTGTTGCCTTTACTCCTCAGCACGATCCGGTCGCCAGCTTCCAGCGGCACACCATCATCAAGGCCCAGCCGGATGACAGCCCTTTGGCCAGCCTTGACAATTCTGGGCTTCTTCCTGATAACCTCATCTCTAGCGTTCATTGTGCTGAACAATTGACTGATAAGCCCCGGCACGTGAAGACGCCCAATGTGCACATCAGCTTCTTGTGGCAGTAAAGGTTCGAAAGCAGTCACTTGCGCAATGACGTTCTTGACAACCTTCACAGCCTTCTCTTCTCCACAGGCGACGTCTCCACTGCGCAAATGCTGTGCGTCGATGTCTTGTAAGTGCAGAGTCGGTATTTGCCCAGCCACTGTCCACTCTTTACTCGTTCCCCGAACCTCAATACCCTTGATCGAAGCACTTTCTCCACTGGGTTGAACGATGATTGTGTCGCCTGTCTGCAGGCTACCATTACGTAGCAGCCCGGAGATTGAAATGGGATTGGTAATCCCGCCTCGAAAAACATCCGCAATCTGCATGCGAGCTGGTGCTTTGACAAGCTCTACCGAGACATTGGACGATGCTGATGATTTCTCTAGCTGTTGCAACAACGTAGGATGTTTCGCCCGAACCCAGGCTGCCTCCGAGTGTTCTGAGGGAGCAGAGACAACGTTCTCGCCGCTCAGCCCACTGCAAGGGATGACCGCTATGTTGTCTCTGGAGAAGCCAGTTTTCGCGAGCAGTTTGAGAACTTCGTCCCTCACATTTCGAAAGGCTTCCTCGCTCCAGGCTGGTGTAGTAGCGTCCAGCTTGTTGACGGCTACGACTATGCGTCGCAAGCCGACCGCATGTGCCAGTAGAATGTGCTCCCTCGTTTGCCCTTTCATCCCTGACTCTAGTTGATTTGCGTCAACAACAAGAACAGCAAGGTCTGCCATCGATGCACCACCAATCATGTTGGGCACAAAATCGCGATGTCCCGGCGCGTCGAGAATGGTGAAGTCCATACTGTCTGTGCTGAAGTGATGCTGGGCGATATCTACAGTGACGCCACGAGCACGCTCCTCCGAGCCAGTATCCATAACCCACGCCAGCGCAAATGACGCCTTGCCCATTTCTGTCGCTTGCTTTTTGTATCTATTGCTGTCAGAATTGCAGACGTAGCGGGTCACAAGCATCTCTACTTACTTATCTATGTCTCGTTGTGTCACTGCGCCTGTATCGAGCAACAGGCGGCCCATGAGCGTACTCTTGCCATGGTCAACGTGGCCGATGACAACAAATGCTGCAGACCCTCGCTTGAACTTCTCCCTGTCCCATATCGATGGCACATCGAGGCCTTTGCTTTTGAGCTTAGGCTGCGCCGGAGCTGATGTTGCGTCCAGCTTTAGTGCTTCAGTCTTCTTCGCCAGGCCATTCGTTGGTTGTGTAGCTTTTGCTTTCTCTGGTGAATTTTTCAGTCAGCACGATTACTTGTTCAATCCTTTGCTACGCTCTTGCGCTCTGGAAACGACGTCATCAGGCGATGGACCCTCGAATGGATTTGTAGCAGAGCTGCTTCCAAGCAGATCTTGTAAAGTCATCACCTGTGCTCCGCTGAATGATGCCGGGCTTGTAGAAAGAGTCTGGCCGAAAGCAGTCGGCGATGCGCGTAGATCAGGCAGGAGTTCCCTGGGTTCTTCTGGAGGCGGAGTAGGCTCTCGTGGTGGAGGCGAAGGCTCCTTCTTCCTGCGAATGGGATACCTCTTTGGCTCCATTTTTGGCACGGGAACAGAATTTTCCTTCCCATCATTCGCTCGGCTGAGACGATCTAGGGAGCTGAGTGCATCATTTGACGTCGGCTGCGGCGATTGCTGACTTGCCGCAGCTTTCCTCTTTCTCTCCTCAGCAAGCTTTGCAAGCTTCGACGACCCTCCTAAAAGACGAGGCGCTGGACGCACTAGTCGAGTAGCTGTTATGCTGGCCAAGTCCTCGTCCGGAACATTGGTCCACGGTGTATCCTTGAACCATTCCGCAGCTGATCTGGGAGGCAACATCTTCGCTTCTGCTGGGAGATGGTTGGCGAAAGGTTGTCGAGGCTTCGTTAGGAAGTGCGCGCATCGATCTGCTTCTGCATGTGCTGATGCATCCAGTATGGGTGGTCCGATTGAGAGAAATGAAGGAACAGTCTCTGGCTCACCTGCTATGTCCGCGCTTTTCTGCTGAGCCTCGTCGAATTTGCTCTTAGGCTTATTCTTCTTAGATTCGTGCTGCTGCTGCGGTTGTGATTGCCGGGGTGTTCTCGAGTTCTTGAGGTATGCTACGCTCTTGCCCACATCCCAGTAGTAATGCCACAGCGCCTCTTCAATCTGTGCCGATGTGGCCTGAATGCCATTTTCTTCGAGCTCTGCACGCACAACCGGCGTCAAGTTGGCAAAGTTGTCCTTGTCTTCCGCTGTGTATCCTTGAGCGTCCTGTCCATCTTCATAGCCTTCTTCGTCCGAGTATAGGTCATCCTCATCATAGTCTACATTCTTGACTCGCTGCATCGTGATTCGAGATTATTTTCCGCGTACAATAATGGATGGCGTGATTCGGAGATTTTCTCGAGTCAGAGTCGATCTGGTGCGACATGTGCAGCGCCGTACGTGGTTGTCAAGAAGCAAGGACTTATTCGTGCGTTGTTGTCGATAGTGGATTAGATTCGTGTGCGCTGCAGGACTGCACGTCACTTGCCCCACGACCACGCCGTGCCGTTCCATCACCGGCTGCTGATCCTCCTCGAGTCTATACTCCATATTCCCACTTCACTTCATCATGTCCTGTGTAAAGGTGCTGCGCGAAATCCATTCACGAATCCACAAGACCGAGATGGATACGAGGACTACGGGTAGCTTTGGATTGAGACATGGAGTGTTCATAGTACTAGTAAGCACCTTTCCGAATTTCTCTTGTCTGACCTAATAGGTTGAAACTACACACAAGAACTCGCAAAAACAATCAAAAACATGGTGGTATCTCTTCGTCGTCGATCAGCGCTCCAAAAACACAACGGCGGTCCATGTTGGTGATCTCGCTTGCCCAAGGTGGCCAAACAGAAAGAATCAACAGCTATTCGCTCCCGTCACACGTAATCTCGTAACAACATCGGAATGCGGCAAGCTGCCAAAGAGGGCAATGAAATCGAAATCGTCGCCAATTCAGATTCATGCAAGAAACCATATCAAGTGATATTTTGTTATGCTCAACAAGATCAGACAAGAAGTCCAATGACGCCGACAGCAGCGGCCAGGCCGAAAGCCTGGACGTTCAACTTGCCGGCAGCGCCAGTTGAGGCAGGGCCTGAGTAAGTCGCGCTCGGTAACGCGCCAGTACCGACTGCTGTGCTGTTGCCGTAGCCGTACAATGCACCTGTGCGGTACGGAGCTGTCGCTGCGGCGAGTGGTGAGGTTTCAGTGCTCGTGCTCTCGTATGTCGCCATGGTGCCGTTGCGTGTCGCTGTAATGGTCGTCGCCACACGGAACACCGTTACCGTGGTGTATTGGGTCGTCGTTGCGGACGTCACTGGTGCGCTGGTGGTCATTGCACCATATGGCTGGACCTCATGGGGAACAGCAGCGACGAGACCGGCGGCGAGCGCCGAAAACTCCAAGAATCGCATGATGGAATGAGTCTATCCGGGCAGCTGGTACTCTTGGAAGATCTGGAATCGATGCAAGATGACGAAAAGCCGGAATGCTCGATTGTTTCCGTTGACGTCGATCGTTTTGATGATGGATGTCGTCGATAGCGATGATGTTTGCCGATCAAACACAAGTCGTTGCGTGAGCCAAGACGATGTGTTGATTGAGACTTCTGCTGCGAGACTTGTCGACTTCTAGGCGATGGCTGATACTGTCTCGTTTGACTCCAGGTCCAATGGAATATGCTGGTCTGCGCTGGAAATCTAACGGCGAAAGCACGAGAAGGACTGTCGTTGAAGCTGCACGAGCGTGTGACACGTCGTCTAGACGTTCAAGTGAGTGTTGTTGTATGGTGCAAATGAGCGTATGGCGGAGGCCGATTCAAAAGAGTGTGGGTGGTCGGCAGCGTCACCGGCGATGGTGAAGATCAGGCGTGAGAGAGGGCGGCGGAGCAGGCGTTCAGAGTAGCGCGCGGCGGACAAGCAGTGCTGTATATGAGAGCCGCCCAAATTGGTTTCACAACCGTGTCTGTGCGGCCAATGTTACCGGGATAGTGCTAACCCAATCACCGTTTGGCTCGCGCAGTCTCATCTCCACCCGCCGCGCTAGTCCGTTCCCGTTCTCGCCCCGGATGCTAACGGTTTTCAACCACTCGCCTTCATGTCGGCATGATCTCATGGCGCGCCGCGCACGCGCTACTCAATACTTTTTCCTTGGAAGCAAAAGTTTTCGCATTCGACAGCGGTCTGCAATGCGCGCGCCGCCAGGGACGTCCGTCAGGCCACACCACAGCAGCGCGCAAATCATGCCCGCGTGCGAGGGAGCACAGGAGTCGAACAACGACCAACGAGTTACAGGAAAGGCGTCGGGATCTTCAGCGATTAACGGTTCCTGCAGCGGTCTCTCGCTTCTCCCCACTACTACTCTCCGCAGAAAAGTCGCGTGGATGTTGGCGATTGGCGTTCGCCGGCTCGATTCCGAATAATGACGGGAGTGCTCCCTGCTGCTGCTGGGCCTTGCGCCTGTCAAGAATCAAATGAAACATCCCCTCTCCGAGTACAGCGTCTGGACGCATCGGCGTGAAAGTGGATCCCAGCGGCCCGTAGAATCTGAGATTTCTGATTTGTTACGAACCATGAAATCCAGGATTGTCCAGGACAAGGAATCCCAGCAGAACACATGAAATGCTCGCGGAAGTTTTATCTAGAGCAAGGCATCCGCCGGGCAACGAGCGTAGGACCGCACGGCGCACGCTTTGACTGTTGTTGTTGTTCCTTCACTGCTTGCTCTTCGGCCTCTGCCAAGCATCTAATCAGGAGCCTCGCCGCTCGCACTATTCTGGTGCGAGTCAAATCACCGTGGCCCGGAGCGGACTGAAAGGGAATTTCTCGTGGCACAGGCGCGCTCCACTGCCGCGTAGAGATGTCCATCCACGAGCCACAAAACTAATTAAACTTACGGATCTACGTGTTCACTGCGGGTGTTCGAGATTCCACTATGGACATCTACCTCCTCTCAGGCGCTCCGAGTATTGTATCAGCTACGTGATAAGACTAGACCGGATATAGACAGGTAGAAGGTGCAGCGGAGCGCCTGAAGACAAACCGTTCTACCTGTATACAATTGCCCGAACAAAAAAACATGCTTTTTAGCTATATCTCTACAACTATGCATTTTGGTATTATATAATATATAAGATGGCTGTGCGTTATAGTACGATCTAGAATCGCTTCTATACAAAATACTCGCTAATCCTAACGCTATAGGATATATTTTTGGTCTGCTGCGACAACTTGCCCGAACTTTTACATTTTTGAGCTTGCCCTTCGGGGCAAGATAGCGGCAGTAGCGCGATGGATTTTTAGTATAGAATATCGGAGGGCCGAGAACTTAGCGCGTAGAAGGGCCTCTAAGTGTTCGGTATATTGCGACAGTGTAGTGTTGTCGTATTGTCGTAGGGGAGGGCAAAAGCTAGCTATTTGCGACGGTTTGTTCTTAGGCTTATAGGAGGAAGAACCCTTAGAGTGCCTAAATTGATGCCTAGCCGTGCACCTACCTAGCCAACCTAGTAGCCTACCTTCTATCGCGATTCTTTATCTATAAGCCTATTAGGAGGTAGATAGACATTACTTCTTAGCTGGCGCTATGCCTATTCCGGTATAGTTAACTAGGCTCTCTCGAATATATAGTATGCTCGGAGGTTAGTAAGTATTCGAAGAGGTTCCCTTAGTATCTAGCAATTTCTAACCCTTAGCGATTAGTAAACGACGCACCTAATTAATAGGCGGTCTAAGGATACTTCTAGTATATAGAACGACTATATTTAAGTATAGATTATAGAAGAAATTAGTAGATAAGGATACCGCCGGTATTAGGATAATTATAGCAGTAAGGGAAGCTAGTTTCTCGGCGTATAAAAGCTATTAATATAGACCTATTCTTCTATAGATTGTAGCTCTTTAGTTATTACTATTCTCGCTATTCTAGCTCTTTAGTTATCGCCTAATTATCTAACTATTGTCTTCTATAATAGCTAATTCGACTTAAGGTAGTAGTAGCTCTATTAGAAGTCTATCGAAGAAGACGAGAGCGAGGCGGTTAAAGCGGAGGGTTAAGGAAGCAGCTTATTAGCTAGAGGTTAATCGTAAGTATAATACTCTTAGTTAGAGGTACCCTATTATTACTTATAAGTATTGTAATAGTTAATAGGTCTCGAATAAGAAGCGGCGAGTTAAAAAGTACCTTCGAGTATATAAGAAGTTGCCTTAACGATTAATAAAGGCCTTCTAGCCTTATCGTCTTAATAGCGAGCCTTCTTATATAGCAACTCCTCGTCTATTATATATTTAAGCAATATAAGGACTAGGTATCTAGTAGATGTTAGCGGCTTACTATCGAGTTGCTATTAAGGCGTACGCTAAGTAGGTATATTTAGCTAGTTTATCCCTCTTTATAACTAACTACCCTACTTTCCGAGAATTTATACGAATACTAGCTCCTACTTTTATACTACTAAGTCGGAAGGAAATAATAGGCGACCTACTCGATACTAAGTACGAAACCCTTAAGGCTAAGATCGAGGATTAGCGAAGAAGAGGCGGTCGTATTATATTAGTAACTAACAGCTAGACTAATCCTCGCGGCGAGTCGATTATTAACTATCTTACTATTACTTCGAAAGGCGCCGCTTTCGTTAAATCCGAGGATTTCGAGGACAATCGATATACCTCTAAGAACCTAGCGGACGCTATAATACGAGTGCTCGACGATATTAGTATTAAGAACGTTATTAGGGTAACAACTAATAATGCTTCGAATATAGTTAGTATAAGAAATTTAGTAAGTAGTTACTAATCTTTAGATTAGCCTAGCTTAGCGTAGCGGGAACGGTAAGGGCCGCCTTCTATTAGCTCTTATCGGGCTTCTAGAAGCCTTCTACCTAGCCGCTAGGCCTAATCTAGCTAGAGCTAATACAAATCGGGCAGTTACGTATAAGAAGGGTATATTAGCAGGTAGATAGGGTAGTAGTAGGTATAGGTAGTATTCGATAAGAAGCTAGGAGGAGAGGGAGGAAGGCAGGCAAGTTAGCCTATTGCTAAGCGCTAAGCCCTGCCTAAGGCACTAAGACCCTAGCTTTACTTAGCCTAGTTACATACTAATTACGTATAGCCTCTTTAGCCCTAATATATGCTTCCCTTCTAAAGGCCGCGCCCTCGTAGCCTATCTACAGTCTACGACCTCTATTGCCGTCGACTTAGCAAGTCTAATAAGCTACTTAGCCCGCGCTAAATTAAACACTTAACTACCTAATTATATAACTATATTAAACCTTACCTCTAAACAATACAATATATAACTCTAACTACGCTATCTCTATATATAATAAACTATAAAGTAATATATATCTACAAGAATTAAGGGCCTTCGACTAATTATAATACGAGCGCGTCTTCCCTACTATAATAGGTAGACGTACGAGGTATTGTAGCACTGCCTCCGTTCTAAGTAATATCGTATCGAGTTCTTTACGTCTACTTTTAAAAGACCTAGTAATATCCGCTTCCGAGGGTTGTCCGCTTCCGAGGGTTTGTTCTTATTATTACGAGGGCTATTCTTTACTTTTTAGAAAAAATATAGCTCGTCTAGTTTCTATAGGTAAAGGCTATTATAAGTGTAGTAGTTAAGGTTCGCCTCGCTTAAAGGGTTAGAAAGATCGAGGAGTAACCTATTGTCCGCAAGATCGACCCTAGCTAGCTTAGCTCTATAGTTTTGCCCTTAGTTAGTCTATTAGTCGCTTAATCTTTAGGCGGCTTAAAGTTTTAACTTAGCCTTAAAGTTTTAATCAAAGTTTTGATTAAAGGTGCCTTAGGCTCGTAGTATAGGTAAGGTTGTGTCTATAGGCGTAGTAATAATAGCAAGTAATATTAATAATAGCGGCGCTAGTCGTCTTAGCGCTAACTTTACCTTGCTTTCGATTTCCTTCTTCGACTAATAATATACTCCGCAATACCGTTACTAATATAGCCGCGCCGGCCGTGTCGCCCTTTAGTATAAGTATAATGCCGTCGTTACTATTATTATTACTAACACTATTTGCCTACGCGCGCGCGCCGCCTCTATCGACCGCCTAGGCCTTAGGCCTCGATAGAACGTAGAAACAAGAGGGGCGCTAAGAGGAGGGTTTTATAGGGTACGCTAGTAAAGAGATAGATTCCTTAAAAGAGTAGGCGATTAGTTAATAGTTATAGTGCGCTCGTTAGTACTCGTTACGCGTTCGTTATCGTAGTATAGTTTTGTTATCCTTTGCTAATAATTGCTTGCCTCTAATTAGTTAGCTTAATAGTACCCCGGGGGTAGCATTATTCCTAGGCCTTTCTAGTAACATTATAGGCCCTTAGCCTTCTTCTTATTCTTTACGCTAGTCTAATACTTATCTAATAACTCGGTTATGTCCTTAAAGGAGTTTTTAGCTTCCTATAAGTCCTATTCTAGTAAATAGCCCTACTATCTTAATAGGTACTCCTTCTTGCCTTGCCTAGTCTAGTGCTTTAGGATACGTTCTATAGACTATAGCTCTTTACTATTAGCTAAGACTTCTTCTAACTTAGCAGGCGCTTTATCGCCTTTACGCTAGTAGTATAGTTTAAGGAGGGATATATAGAAGGTGTTATAGATAGTATAATAAGGTAGAAGCTACAACTAATAGGCCTATGCGGAGGAGCCCTTAACTTCTCGAATACGGAATAGGCTAATGTGTCTTAGTACGAGCTTAGGCCTTGTTTTGCTATTAGGTAATAGGTGTTTACGGATGCGGAGGTTCTTCGTGCTTAGTATAACTATATCGCCCTGCTTAAAGGTTATTAGCGTATAGTGTTTGTTATAGTAGGCCTTCTAATAGGCCTAGGCCTTTGCTAGTTTGTTAGCTATCTTAGCGTGAATTTCTCGCATCTTTTGAACCCTCTTAATAGCTACTAGTATCTCTAGTACTTAACGCGCTTCCCTTTCCTTACGCTCGGCCTCGAGCGATAGTAGGTCTTATAGTATAGTAGTATTCTAGCCTATTATAGCTATGTATAGTAAAACCTTAGTAGATAAGTGCACGCTATTGTTATATACGAATTCCGTAGGCTATAGGAGGTTAACCTAATCCTCGGGGTTTTTATTAATATAGCTACGTAGGTACTACTATAGGGTAGCATTCTGCCTCTCTATTTAACCGTTAGTCTATAGATAGAAGGCTGTCGATAGCCGATGCTTTAGTCTTAGCTATAAGCAAATCTCGCTCTAATAGTAAGATATTAGTATCGATCTACGATCGGATACGATCCCTTTAGGGGTTCCCTAATAGGTATAGAAGATGTTAGTCTATAGCGCCTCTACTATATTAATAGCAGTCTAATCCTTGCGCGCCGGGATGTATCGAGCGCCTTTAGTAAATCGATTTACTATAACAAGGATAGTATTATATACATCCTTACTGCCTCTACGCTTAGTAGGAGGAAGGCCTATAATAAAGTCTATTATAAGCTCTATAAAAGGCTTCTTTAGAACAGGGAGTAAAGACAACTCGCTAAATAGTAAGTGCTTTAGTGCTTTGACTCGCTAGTATACTATATAGGTCTATATATACTCCTTTATATGCCGCTTACTATTTAGCTAGTAGTATATGCGCGATAGTAACTCGTGCGACCTCTCTATACTATAGTAACTAGCGAGCTTACTATTATAGTACCTCTTTAAAAGCTAGACCCCGCAGTAGTCCGGGTTGGTTTGGTTTGGTTTGCCAAGCCGAAATTCTGGTTTAGTTTAGTTTGGTTTGCTAAGAAACCGGTGCACGGACCGGTTTGCCGGCCACGTGCCGGCTACAGACAAAAACCCGACCCAAAACACGCCGGAACACGTCTAAACAGCCTGAAACACAGATGCAAATGCAATATAGGGCCCCCGGACCCGATCCGAGGTCGTCGTATGTCGTCGCATATCGTCGCAGTTTAGTCGGATTTCC